AATGGACCAATGGTCTTAAATATATTGGGGAAGAAAATAAGAGATGTTGTGTAGATACAATTGTCGCTTTAAAAAGACTATATAATTCGCAAAACATTACAGATGATTTTTTGCAAGAGGTATATTATGTTGTTAAGTTTTTAGATATAGTTTAAAATATAAATAAACACTTTTAAATTTATTTTTTTTAGTTCAAAAATTATACAAAACTTCATACTAGAGTGGGTGTAGTTAGAACCTATGGGTTAACACAAGATCCGGAAACAAATGAATACGTTTTTGTAATGAAATATTTTGAAAGTGGGAGTCTTTGTGATTACATAAGAGAATCTAGGAATTTAAATTGGAAGCATAAAGTGAATTTGCTGTATGATATCATTTTCGGTTTATCGGCCATTCACGAAAACAAGAAAAAATGGTCAGGACGGTGGAAGAAAATATTTAATATGACCTTTTGTCTTCCTGTGCTCTCCTTCGGGGAATTGTTTATATTTCGATGGTGATGTTAAAGTTATGTGTATTTGATACTATTGTGATAATAGTTCATTCATTTTTTCAATATTGTGCAAATGGAATTTTAGGTTTTATTTTCAATTTCCTTTTTTTATGCTTCCCAACGCCAATCAGGTTTTTTTACGAGGCGCGTAATAACAAATCTAATGTTTTAGGATCTTATTATGTCATTCAACTCATAATCGATGACTTCCAACTTCTTCCTTATTTGGATAGAGCAGTTTAAAATTAATAGATTTAGTACGTATTAGTATATAAAAGACAGCGTCTGGTTATTGTCCGTTTGTTATTGTTCGACAAATTTTACATGCATCAATATTACAGAAAAAGAATCACCATTCTAAAGAATAATAAAGACAAAATAGGAAGGTGGTAAAGTAATCTTGATTTTTTTTATAAAGTGAAAAAAATCTATCATCTTATCCACATTATCATCGTAATACGCCTGTGTCTTATGATATTTAAGTTTATAAATACAAAATAGGAAAATTCTTTGCAAAGCGAAATATAAAGAAGTTCATTATAAAGACAAAACAGGTTAAATGATATCAAGATATTTGCAATGCGAAATTCATATAAAAACTTTATTATAATCTTATCATACTTGCTTTTGTAATAATAAAAATAATAATCACTAATTAATATGGGTTTAAAAAATTTATATTCAGGTTCGAATTTTCATCATCAAGGGTTTAAAAAATCCTCCTAAATGGGTACACATGTTGAAAACTCATATTCTTTGACCCTCGAAGACCTGAATAAATTCGACTTTAGGAAGTACAACAATTTACAAGAAGTCGAAGAAGCTGATCGAAATCTGAATCAATGCCAAAAATTCGGAGAGCTTCTCCAAAAAGTCTATGCTCTGACAAAAGAAAATAAAATCGAGTTGGGACTTCGTCTTATTCACAGACATATATCTATAGAAGAAGAAGGGAAGGCGATGATAGAAGAATTTTGTGATTTTAATAATAGGCCTGCGTTTATCACTTCAGCCAGTTTCGTGGATGAAAAGACTTACCCTGCAAGCTGGCTGATCGAAAAAGATAAATACTATGTCTACGAATATTCAAGAGACTCACACGTCAAAAAGACGCTTGATGAAATAGTTAAAGATTCTTCTGTTTTAGAGAGAATTGTTCAGCTTATTAAGCAATATAACTTGGAATCGCTTATTGCACCTTGTATTCATGCAAGAGACGCTTTGGTTCATTTTAACAAAAATGAAAGTCTTGTCGAGACGACATATTTTAGTCCTTCAGCCAGTGTTGTTCAAAACGGCAAAACGGGTGATGCAGCGAATATCACCACTTTATGGGGTGGACCCATTACTCAAGCGTGTTTAAGGATGATTGAGCCCAGAATGTTCGTGTGTTGCATTCTGATCAACAGGTAATAGTTGAAAGGCCCATATTATTTGGTATTCACGATAAAGCAACAAGAGAACATATCAACTATGTTCTTGATGAAGTTAAAATTATAGGAAAGGGTCCTGATGGCAGTACACCTAGTATAACTTTGATGAAATAAAGAAATTAAATAGAGGTACGTAAAAAGCATTTTATGTAATGCTGGTAGCCAAAATAAAAACAATCAAACTATTTATATTTGGTAAAATGAAAATACTGAATTAAATTTATGATACCAAATTCGATGTGGTGATAGTTTTGGACTGGTCAAAAAACTTTATAGAAAGACAACTGTAGATTGTGTGTATCATGGTTCAGATGTCGTAAAAATGTCTAGTGCTGATGGGATTGAATAAAATACAATGCTATGATGCTGGAAAAAGTTTTCAATATCTTGATGTTCAAAAAAGGTTGGTTTGATAGATAGTATTTAAAAAATATTAGCATTTCTTTTACAGCTTTTAATCGTGGTGTAGTGAAAGTTCAGAGAATGCTAATGGCTCATTTCATATTGAAAACCAAGAAACAAGGACTTCCCAAGTAATAGAAAATATCAAAGACTTATCACTTTCCATGTTGACATCTACTATTTTGGATTACAAACATAAATAATATCTTTACAATAATATTACCAATTTGTGAAAAGTGGATTTAAAGATATTTATTTACTTTTCCTAAACCAGAACAAAATACTGACAACTAACTTGGAGGAACTCTGATGATTAATCATTTCTCCTCCATCATTCTTTTTTCTTGGTAAGTTTCATAATATTTTCATTCCTTAGTATCAACTAATTTAAAACATAAAGGACAATTTTCTGACTTTGTTCTTTTTAAAAATACTTCTAATAGTGCTGTAATTCTTGGATTTTTATTCATATTTATTTTTAGTATAGGAATCATCCTATGTATAAGAAGCAGAAACAAATCGAAGAGAGAAAATAGTCCCTTATCTGGGTTTATGGATACTCTTGAATCAATTTCTATAAATTAATTAGACAAGTGTGGCGTTGAAGAAGTTTGAACACCGAAATTTCTTTGTGACCTCATAATGTTATTATTATTTGCACGAACATTTTTTAAACAATTATTTAAAAGTTCAAGAAGGATTAGTAATTCAAAATGATTGTATAATCTTATGAGTGATTACTCCACAATGTAAAGAATCAGTGACATCTATAATATTGTAGGTTAGTCTTTACTTTTCATCATCATCATTGTATTTTCGTGAAACTTGTAAAGGTATATAAAGACTTTGAGACATTAGGATTGAAATAAATTTTTGTTATAACTTGATTAACTTAATCAACAACACACACAATAAAATAATTTATGAATAATCCTAATAATATTGAGTTCGCGTTACATTATTTATCTATTTTTCATAATCATCTATTACAAATCTAAGAAATTTTGTTTATGATATTCTGGAGCTTTTATAATTGAAAAATTTTAAAACCTGAATGATTCAGATTTAGCATCGCTGGCTCTCTGTACAATAAAACTATCACCATTATTACACACTATTAATGTTTTCAAAGTAAACAAAGATTTTTTTTTATTTATAGAAAATTTTCTTTTAT